TCAAAACGGCTAACAAGGTTGTCCATTTCAAATTTGGTTCAAATTTAACGTTTTTTTTTCACGGTCAATAATTTGTGGAAAATTACCTGCTGATTTCTAACGAAAATTAATTGATATTTTGTTTGTGTTGATTTGTGAAAACTTCTTTGAGTTTCTAACTTTTTTATTCAAAAACATAACATTCAAAAATATAGTATCATCGCCAAAATTTTTTGAAAGAAAGAAAATACACAAAAACGTCAAGAAATCATAGTATATATTTCCACAAAGGATATATTTCTGTTTTCTTCCTCATCAAAAAATGGATAAATTTTTTTTACTTTATTGATTTGATATTATTCCAATTCCAGCTCAAAATTCGGTTCAACCGACTTAGGGGCATAAAATACTGGTTTTTCAGAAATTGACTGTACAATTTCATAGTACAAAAAAAATGCATTTGCTATTTTCATAAAAATTTTATAATAAAAGTATGACAAAAACCTTGTTTTTAATTCCGAAATATGCCAGAAATGCTCATTGAAAAAAATGCATATTATGCTATTTTCATACTTTTTTGGTCTTTCAATTAGTATGAAACCTTATGATAAGCATTTTTTTTCATAGTATGAAATTGAATGATAGACATTTTTGGTCAACCCGGTAATATATACTTGATGAAGACATCCTACGTTATGTCACTTGGGGGGGGGGGGGTTTGGAGTTTGTATGGTTGATCCCAAATTTCAGTAGGATGAATGAAAATAGACCAGTTTGCTTAGGTTGGTTCAAGGGCTAGATAAAGACATGAAAATAACTTTTGGGATCACATTAGTGCAAAAAAGAACAAACATAGCCGGTTACTGTGCAAGTAGCACAGAAAGTTCCGACCACAGTCTTACAAAATACAGTTTTTTTTCAAATTGGTGTCGTTTTTTTCTGCATGTTCTGATAAAAACAACCTGAACAAAAAATCGAAGTTAGGTTATAATAAAATAGGTCAATTGAAAAACAATTTCTGAAGACAAATGCCTAGAAAAACAAAAATAAATTAAGAAATTTTTTTGTAGAATTTTTTGAATTTTCAAGTTTTTGATTCCCAAAATTGCTCTAAGAACTCGAAAACTACGTTTAATTGAGTAAAACTAAGTTTTCACGGCTTAAATTAAGCGTAAAGAAGCTGTTGTAAGCCTACACTGTCACGTTATCAGCTCGAAATTAGACCAAAAATCAAAATGTCATTCGAATCACGACTGATAGGGCTCTAATATGATATATCACTCGGCCCATTCCGATAATGGTTTGAGGTACCTGATTTTGTGTGGAAAAAAAAAGAGAAAAAAAATTTAAAAAAAAACACCTGAATACTAAGTTCCTCCCCATTTTCAATGATCGGATCAAAAACTTGGGAAGTTTAAGTTAAACGGTTAGCGCACACAAATTGCAACAACTGATTTCAGAGTTAACATCATAAAAAATGAAAGCTAAGAAAACTGCAGTAGCATTTTTTAATAGAGCTCGAGATTTGCCGTGCAGCTTAGACCAAGTCAGCGAGGAACCGATTGAAACATCTATTTGCCAATTGAATCGAGTTATTTCTAGGCAGTTAGACATACTATGTTCAGTGATGAAACTAACTTAAGAAGAACAAGACTAGTCGTATCAAGGCGAAACCCTGAATGTTCCGACTGCATTTTAAGGTTTATGGAGCAGTAATAACATTAAAAAATTCATTGAAATAAAACAAAATCAAAAAAAAATTTTTTTCTAAAATTTGAAGATTTTTATAAAAATTATCCCCCCACACGCCATACAAAGTACAAAAGAATAGATTTCGCTCCTTGTAACAAACCAATTATGGCACAAAAGCTTCTTTTAACCAATTTGGAACGATTTCTAAGGCGGATTGACTCTCCGCTTACGCGTTAATAGCGCGAAATATATCGCGCGTTAATTGTCCCAAATTGGCCAAATTGGCCATCTTTAAACCCCCGTAACTTTACGAAAAATGATCACAGGTAAAATATCTTTTCAAATTTGAGCTCAGGACAACAATACCTTTCGAATGATTAAAAAAGTTCCGTCAAAAATGGCTGGTTAAAAAGTCGAAATTTGTCTGAAGAAAAAAAAACCCATCCCGAGCACAAATATTCCGTCACTTTCGTATCGAAAGTCGGAACAAAAATGCTTAGTTTACAAACACTGAGAACTGGTAAAAACGGGCAGAAAATGCTGAAGTTTTGGATATTCAGAGAAGCAAAGTGTGTTATAGGTGCAAAAATGCAAAATACTTAGCATCCAAATGTTGGTCCAAGTTAGCGAGTATTGAGCGCCCAGCATTAGACCTCCAATGAATTATTTCAAATAGTTTGATTAAAAACACAAAGATAGGAATTGGGTAAATGATTTGCAGGAAACGATATTTGACAGACGCATCTTTTCTGTGATATTAGAAAAAATCATTCAATATTTCACCTAAACAGATAAAATTGGTGTAAGACAAACTGCGTGCTGAATTTGCAGTATGGTGAAAAAATAAAATGTCTTGCAAAATTAAGCAAAAATTTGAATGATCTTGTTAAAAAACATAACCAATTGAGTCCAAGTTTTAAAACAGAATGAAATTAAAAGCTTATTAGAAAACTAATACAGATTTAAAATCTGATCAATATAAGGAAACGATTCACTGAACGATTGTTCCCATATTTTAGGGAGTTAAGAAAACTTGGCATCAGTTGCAAAACTTTCCCAAACAGGAGCTTAGATTGCTTTTAGAAAAAAAACATGTATTCAGTTTTTTTTTTCATTGAATCAGTGCGGAAAAAGCTTTAAAACGCTGAGAGAGAAAAATTGATCTGCAAAAAAAAACAAACGTAAACTTAAGAGTTCAATTGAGCAAGTTAATGAATTATTGAACAAAGCTAAAGTTTGCAAAAAAGGTGTTCGATAGAACCCGATTATCAATTTATCAAACTATAAGTCTGGCTAGCATTCGGCTCCTGATTATTTTGCAGCGAAAACACTGGATAGATAGAAATTCAGGGGGGAAAATCTGCAGACAGACAACAATAGATCAAATGATTTGGGCAATATTTGCATATAGTGAAATCAGAGCTAAGTAAGTTAACCAGGGTTTTTGAGCAAGAACGAAGAATCTCTGCTTTAATTCTCACATTAATATATTACGCAACACTATATTAATGACATTCTTGACTTTTGTACAATAGTTTGAAAAAAATATATTTTGAAAGTGTCCAGTTCCAGATAAAGTCAAGTTCCAGAGAATTGAATTCTCTTTTTGGTTCAATACAAAATGGCTTTAACATGGCGAGATCAGATCACAATCATCCTACTTAACAATCTCCCCCCCCCCCTTTCAAGAAAGGGGGGAGATTCAAGAAGGGGGGGGGGGAGATTGTTAAGTAGATCCCAATCATCAAATTCTGGTGAGTCTAAAAAGAGTCTAAGTTTCTAGGGAAAACTTGGCAGCAACCAAAGAAATTTCGTCACGCTTTTTGAAACTTGAAATGGTACATTTAAATATGAAGTCGTTTCTCCAAAAAAAATCCGCCGCGTTACAAACATTATCGTTGCTTTTTGATACGAGTAACATTCAAATATGAACCTAAAAAGGAAAAATGGTCACGTAGGTGCAACTTTAAGCACTTTTTGTACTCATTTCACAAAACTAGTGCTTTGAGACCGTTTTAATTAAGTCCTATTTACGTTTCCTCTTCGGAAATCAATTAAGCCTGTCAAGTTTTTAATCAAAATGTTGATTATTTGATGAACAAATAAGTATGCCTGAACAATGTACATATGAATGTGTTTGTAAGATATTGGAACAAAAGCAGGTCTGAAATCCTTAACATTTATAAAGTAAATGAGCTAAAATAATTCATCAAAAAAGATGGATCATTTTAGTTCGAATTGAGAATTGAAGAAATTCACTTATTAGGTTCACAATTAGGTTCCAGCTTTAAACTTTTCAATCTTAATTGAATTAGCGATGGAATATTTCTCCTTAACTGAATTAGATTTAAATAAACTCGCGATCGTATTCGTTTTTTAATGCAACCCATCAGACAAAATTTATCTATTTTTATCGGAATCGACACAAGGGGTTCCGGTTGGATCGGAAAATCCAACGACTCTCCCTAAAAGCTTTCAAACTCCAAGATGCCTAACGGGAAAGCCTCCCGGGAAAATTTCAAAAGAACGCCATTGGACTCGATTTTGCAACGGCAACTTTTAACGGAATTGGTTTTTAATTGTAGCTAGCAATCAAAATAAACTCCACCCCCATCCCCATTTGCTATAATTTGCTACCTTTGCTAGGTACTAAAAACGGCCTCAAATCTGAAATGTCTAATGGCAATCTACCAAATTTCCGAAAAATAGCAAATATGTTAATGTCATTGATTAAGCAGGATTGGAAAAAGATTGTTTGAATTATTTTAGGGGGTAAACAGTTAACTAGATTCGGCCTTTCATTCTTCTGTTTTATGGCTATTTCTGCTATTTATTTTGATCAATTAGGCGCTGGTTTTGACATAGGGGCATTACTTCTTTTTATAAAATAGAGTTTGATCTTAGAAAGCATTCTTTATTGCAATCATAAATCTGCCTGCAAAATTATTTGTTCAATTCGTACACATAAACTGTTTGATCAATACCAACTGAATTTTACATGAATGAATTCAAAGCTGATATACAATTTTTTAGGCAAAAACAGGCAAAATCCGCGAAGTCGATGAATGCAGAGCTTTTAATACATGAAAAAAAATGTTTTTTTTTTCAAGAATAACTCAAAGTAATGCTGCTGTAGAATAAAATGCTTTTCAAAAAAATACCAAGCTTGTTAACATTTAAAATTTTTAAAACCAAAAATTAGTTATAAAACATACATAATCATGTATCGAAGGAGATAAAATGCCCGTTTGACAGAAGAAATAAGCATATCTCCTATTTATCGGTTAGGGTAAAGCAGTTTGGTCTTATTGACTTTCAATTAAACTTGCCTTTTTTGATCGATATTTTATATCTGAAGCCATTTCGTAATCTGATAGATAAACGGAATTGAAGTACTGAAGTTTACAGCCAAGTTGGTAATTTGATGATAATTTGGCGTTGTGGGATAACTTATTAATGTCAACTAATCAGTGGTATCAAATATCAATTTATACCAGGCAAAGCTTGCGGGGGTGTTTTGAGGAGTAAGGGTTCAAATATAGGCGTTGAAACACCAGTACGATACAAAATGAATGATGACAGCCACCAACAACTAAGACTCTGATTTTTTTGTAACAATTGTATTTTCAACGCACCGAACGAGCTTTCTTTTCAGATCGAAAAAAGTCAAAAATGCGCTAGAACAGACAATTGAAACTTCAAATCTAGCTTGTAATATGATTCACATGTAAAAGATACGAACACTTAGAAAGTAAGACTTGCTAAAACTTTTCTACGATGGTACGTTTTTGTGACTATTCTACGTGAATTTAAGAAATGCTTTTTATTAATCAGCTTTTTGTAACATGGTTTGAAAAAAACCAGCGTGAAACATCGTTTCACGTTTAAAAAACGCATTGAGCGTATAATCGTATAAGTACATTTTTTGACTGCCAAAATCACGCACGATTAAAAATTACACACAAAGCAGCAGAAATTAAAAACGTGCTCTGATAGATGTTAAGCAAAAAACAAGTTAAAATACTATTTAATTTTAGCTAGATATAACTATTAAATATTTTCAACTAATAAATCAAAACACCAAAAAATGGTCAGATTTGATGCCAGTCCAGAAAGTTGTTTTCAGTTTAACAATAAGTATTCGAAAAAGTGATTCGCATGCTTTGAAGCGTCATTGCAAACAGAATGGACAAATAAGTAAAAGCCAAAAAAACTCATATTTTCCTGATGAAAAACACTGAATACTAACTCAGCGATACAAAAACCTGAGAAGTATTTTGCCTGGAGGCTGAAACAATAGTATTTTACCAATTTGAAGAAAAACTGATGTTTTAGGGAGAAAAAGCAGATCAAAACATGATTTCAGGAATAAATGGAACAAATGAGTCATACTCGTTCCTTTTTTGTCGCTAACAAAGGAAGTCCATATTCAAAATCGGACTTGAATTATGCGCTTTTTACAGGTGTTTTGTCTAAATGTGGAAAGAAGCTTTAGCGGCAATCAAAGGATTCAATGAAGGCTTATATTATCCGCAAGCTGAGCTGTAGCTTGCGAAATATAGAACATAGTTTTCAACTCAGTATCGTAAAAATTAAGTAATTCAGGTAATTAGATGCATTCTTTGTTTCCCGAACAGTTTAACGCACTCTGAGTCTAATGACTTGAAAAAATCCTGTTGAACTGTTCTTATAAAAATAAGAAAGATAGCTGACTCAAAACGCATTCGCCCAGAATTTTCCGATAGACAAAATAAAGTTGATCGGATATTTTGAAAATTTTTTCCAATTTTTGAGTAAAAGCTGCTACTAATACCGATAGAATCATGTACTCGTCAATTTAGGGCCATTTTATTGAAATATTCAAAAAGATTGAACATTAAAATTTTCCAGGTTGACACAAAGTGTTATTTGTTGTTGCTGAAGCCAATGTTTTCCAATGGCTTTGAACAACAGTGGCACATCGGTTGATTTTCTGCACAACTTCTGTTATGTGATGCATACTAACTGCATCCAGTTTCAAGCATTAATATTCGATTATATTACGATTTTATTACCAATTTTACTAAAATTGAGAAACAATCAATTTAAATCAATTAATAATCGATTATAATCTCTCTTTTTAAAACCAAATTATAAATAACTATAATCCATTATAATCGATTATAATCGATCATTTATTCTTCTATTTTTCAAGAAAATTATAATTGATTATAATTGATTATAATCCATTATTTTTATCCAAATTTCTAGTTCATTTAGTTTCTAGTTTTGCCCAAAACTCCATTATAATCAATTATAATTGATTATAATCCCTTTTGTTTGTCCATTTTGTCTTCAATGTTGCATCTAAATGGCTTATATTTTTTGCTCTTTGTAGACGTTGGTACCTATGAAAAATTATTTTAAAAGTTTTCCAATTAATTCAATTTTGTAAGTTTTTTTTTTATTTTTTTTCCCCATTAGAGTTGTTTTGTGATGCATATTTTAAGCTTTTTTGAACACAAAACATCAACAAATTAATTTAGTTTCATGATTGATTCGGAAGATTTATTTTTCATCTACCGCGGGAACCTTTCCACTCATATGAAAGGATCTCTATGAAACTTTTGTTTCGTGGTAAAGCATTGTTTTCAGATGACCCAAAGTGTTCAAGAGATCTCTCTTTTAGAGATTTTTTTATTGACATAAAAATAATAACCCATAAGATATAATTCGAATATAGTTTTGAATTGTCAAAATTTTGGCAAAATAAGAAAATATAATCGATTAAAATCGATTATAATTGATTTTAAAGGTTTTTTGTAAGAACTATATTCAATTATAATCGATTATAAGAGATTATGATCTCTTGGAAAATATCACGATTATAATCAATTATAAATCTTTTAAACACCTATTTTTGGTAATTATAATCAAGTATAATTGACACAAAATCATCACAATAATCCGTTATAATCGATTACTTACGCCTAAACTTGGTTGCGGGTAATAAAAAACCGATGTGCGGCTAATAAAAAACCGATGTGCGGCTTTAAATTAAAACCAATCGTGATCCGGAGTGATTCTCATTGTCTTGTTTTTTTTGTTAGCTTACACCAATTTTAGCAAAAAGAAAGCAGACCCTTAGCATAATCGTAGGGCGTACATTTTGTGAATCGTCAGATCGTGTATTCGATCCCATGACATGACAATGATAGCATGTGAAGACGAGCTTTCGAGCTAGAGAAAATGCCTCTAGCTTCAGGTCTACCAAAGCTTGGCCAATATCGGCTGCAATAGTGTGGTACCACCTGAAAGTTCTTGACGCAAAAAGAAACAGCCTGGAATCGCAAAAAAAGAGCTTCACTCAACAAAATAACACAGTCTGGAAGATGGGGAGATATTTCAAATGGACCATCCTCGACAGGACTGGTAAGGCCCCTGATAGCTCCTCTGCGATTCGCAGGAACAACAAAAAAGTAATTCTTCTCATTTCAAAACAGTTCAAAAAAGTCTTACAATTTTATAAGAGAAACAAAAAATGCAAGAAAAAAAAACAGATATCCTAGACGTTTCCTTATTGCAATGATAATTTGTCGGAGCATGATTGTTATATAACAACTAATTTCTTACAAATGTGCAGAACTTAACTTCCCAGCAATTCATTAACGTCATTTTGGTAGCGTGAAAATTTCAGCGAGGAATAAACTTCATTAGGGCAGGAAATATGAAACTCTAAAACTCGATTTAAGAAATTAAACCAAACCTGTAGCAACAAATTAAATTCGATCGCCGGATGCAACCAAAGGATGCATTGTAAATGTCTACTGAACTTTCTGTTAACTACAAAAAACTGGATGGCAGGAAATTGAATTGCCAGGAAACATGAGGAGTTCACGGGAAGTATAAAATTTCATTGCGTCATCGTACTCCATAACTAGCATGTCGGCAACTCAACGCAATCGACAACGCAGATTGACCCATGTACAAAAAAGGGGTGTGACGTTATCATCCAGTACCATATAAAGAGTCTGGAGAAAAATGCTTGTAGTACAATTTTCATACAATTTATTTGCAACACATTCAAAACTATTCTTGTCTATTTGACGACCTTGGAGTTTTCTGGTAACCAAAAAAAGAAATTTAAAAATTGGATGAAAATAATGGTCATTAAATTTTCATTGAAGAACTTTCAAAACTCATTTGAGGACGTTTTTTAGGTAATTTTAAAGGAATTTCATTCTTTTTTGTGTATTGAAAGCTTTTTGATTGACAAAAAGACTATTGTTTTTCGTCGAAAAAAATGTATCAGACAATTTTCATGAATAAAAATTTGATAAGCAATTTCCATGAAAAAAACAATAAAAAAATTGCAAACTAAATAAGGAAAATCAGGACCAGCAACATTTAGAAAAAGTTATTGTTTGACCCTAGGCAGTATTTTTTGATTTTGTATTTCAAATATTTCAAATTCAACGTATTATTAATATATAGACCAGCCGAAGTAAAAACCAATTGACAAAAACAGCCGAGAATTTTATAAATAAAAAAAGTTGATTATAGTTGTAAAAAAACTTGTTAAAGTAGCGAATGACGCATAAGATTCATTTCGATGACAAACCTTCAACTGGTTTTTTGTTCCGACTTTCGAAGAAAGTGAGGAATATATAGGCTCGGAGTGGCTTTTTATTCAGGCCATTTTTACAAAAAAACTGGTCCCTCAGGGGATCGATCTCTTGATCTGCATGGGCCGAGCCGGGTTTGCAAACACAATTGTAACCTGCCACAAATCAATCTATACTGCTCTTCTTATAATTTACACGCGTGGCGAATTATTCAGCTTTCAGAAATTGCTCCAATTTGTTTGAGGCAGAAAATTGGTTTGATAGTTCTATACACGACTCAAAATATAACACTTAACTTTTAATATGATCAGCCTAAAATTCGTAGATTTTCCAATAATAAATTTACTAAAAACGATTTGACTCCAATTAATTGGCAGTCGGAACATTCAGGGTTTTGCCCAGATACGAGCAGTCTTGTATACTATGTGACTCCATTTGCTGCTGGCTGATGAACTCAGCGCACTTTCGGCTGGTTCATTCTCGCTCAAAAAAATTTGCACCGGTATGTCATACTCCAAAAGCGCTTTTTGAGCACTGCTTGTTTTTTGAGTTTCTAACTTTTGAAGAAAGTGTTCGATGTTTTTTTCCCAGACAGCTTTCTACCAATTTTTTTTAAATATTAGACAAAAAATATCAATTTCACAAAATTTTATCAATTTTGTCATATTAGATTAGATTACAAAGGTTTGAATAAACAATTTGGCAAATTGAATAATCGGATCTCTTTAACTATATCCCCCCTGGGGTATCTAGTAACGAATATCCCCCCATAATGAAATAAATCAACGGTTAAGCAAATGAGAATTTTATAGCTATTAACGAATATCATCCTTTTTGCAAATGAGGGAATATAGTTAAAGAGATCCAGATAATCAATAACGTCTATACTGCTAACGCGCGGTTGTTTCCTACTATAGCAGTTCAATTTTTGAAAAACTAACAGTTTCAAGTTTTTTGAACCACCTCAAGTATCTTTTCGACGAAGATTTGTTTTTTAAAGTGCTGCGAAGTGTTGCGTTTGAAGAATTTCCAATCCGGAATAAAAGTTGCAAATTGACAAAACTAGTATCCTGAGAGCACGGTTAGTTTCAAAACGCAAAATTTTATTAGAAGTTTCCAGTTCATTTTATAATTGAAAATTATCTTTAAAAAGTGTGTAATGCGATTCATGGATTCACGAGTAGATTTATTCATTTTATTCAGGTTGTTAGCTACATACATCAACCTGAACAAATTGTGAAATCTTTCCAGTTTGCAGAGGCGTTTTCTTTTTTCAAAACTAAGACCATTCGTGTTTTATG